AGTTGATATTTTTTTTGCAATTGTCCTCATCTGCTGTGTTTGATTTTAATCTCCATTGTTTTTTAAAAAACTTTCTTTCTGGGAATGACTAAAGTTTAAAAGTTTGGGTTGAAGATACCATCAGATATCACATTAGTTTCAGTCTCATGGCACGAGTGTTTCACTGGCATTGAGGGGCACCATTGTTGGGTTGTGCTTAGAGCTCTTTGTGACCCTATAGACCAGGGGTCTCAAACTCAAGGCCCGCGGGCCAAATCTGCCCCACAGGGTGCTTAGATGTGGCCCATGGGGCCACCTTGAAAACAGCCTCTGCCAGCAAAAATGGAGCTCGGAAGGGCCTGTTTTCAACTGTGACGGCCTCCTGCAGCCCTCATGAAAACAGAATTTGGGAGGGCCACATGATGCCCCCCGAGTTCCATTTTCCCTGGCTGAGGGTTGCAAAAGGCCATTGCAGCCAAAACTGGATGTACAGCTGCCCCCCCCCCCGGCCATGCCTCTTGGCCACCACTGCTCCAGCCCCCGAGATCAACACAACCCTGATGTGGCCCTCAATGAAATCAAGTTTGACACCTCTGCTATAGACCATAGCATGCCAGGACGCTCTGCCTTCCTCCGTGTCCTGAGGTTTGCCCAAATTCATGCTCATTGCGTAGATGACACACTCTAATTGTGTCATCCCCTGCCATTCGTTTCTCCTTTAAATCTTCCCAACAGCAGGGTCTTTTCCAATGAATCCTCTTTCTCATTAGGTGGCCAAAGTACTTGAGCTTCAGCTTCATTATATGACCTTCCAAAAGACAGCCAGGATTGATTTTCTTTAGGACTGACTGATTTGATCTCCTTGCAATCCAAGGGATTCTCAAGAGTCTTCTCCAACAGCAGTATCTTTGCTGAAGATATTTTACACTAAATTGTATACCTTTTTTCCCGGAGACCTGCTAAAGCTAAAACAAATGAAAAAGAAAGTTTCCTTCAGGTCAACTTCAACACCTGAAGCTCCCGTGAACCTGCGTATTGTTGTCTTGGCAACAGTACAGAAATGGGTTGTTACTGCTATCTTTCCGGAAATTCTTTCAACTTCCTGTCATCCTTATGGTTGTGGTATTGTTTTATGATCTTCCATCCAAGTACTAATTAGGCCTGAATCCATTTAATTTTAAAATCCAGGCAAAATTATCCAGGGGTTGCCAGCAGTCTCCAAAACTAATTGTATGATTCTTGATGAATGCATTCTATTTTATTTTTCTTTATATACACTGAGAGCTTATGCACCAAAGACAAATTCCTTGTGTGTCCAATCACACTTGGCCAATAAAGAATTCCATTCCATTCTATTCTATTCCATATTCCATTATTCTATTCTATTCTATTCTATTCTATCCTATCCTATTCATTCTAGTACCAATGCAGCAATGTTGTTACTAATACTCGCTTTTCTCATACGCCTTTCTTCTATAATGTTTATTTAAACGTTTATTCTATTATTTAAAATAACTAGGATGAATCTCAGGGGACAGCCCTAGAAAGCACTTCGTTAACTGGTTTTATAAAACAATGTATTCTTAAAGAGGGAACACATTGGTTTGTTTCCCATATGAGGGAACCAATCAGCCCTCGGACAAGTAGACTAAGAAGCAGTAATTGGTTTCATAATTTATTACAAAATCACAAAAGAGGAAAGTATTCATCTTCTTCACAACAAAGGAAGCACAGCCAGCTTCTTCTGGAAAGAGGAAAAGTTGTTCACCTCTCTTGAGCAAAATTCAGCTTAGAACTTTATATCTCTGATCTAAAGCAATCTAAGGCATGCACTTCAGTATCTACCAGCGATGGTCAAAAAGATGAAGAAAGTGACCAGGACCATTGGGGTTTCAATGGCATGGTCAAAGTGCCATCTTGACCCTTTGAGACACTCCCACTCCTCCCAGTGGATGCTCCTGACTTTGCCCACCTGATTGAAGGTGCTTTTAATTACCTGCCAATCTCTGGCAGAAAAATAAAATCAACACATACTTACAGTGTACCCTGTGATGGTATTTGCATGCTGCTGAGGCATTCTCCATTGAATACTAAGTGCGGTGCAGTTCAAAGAATCCAGTGTTATGTCCACAGGAGGCCCCAACCTATCTGTTTTTTTAAAAAAGACAAAGCATTAAGAAGTTGCAAGAAACAAAAACATCTTCAGTAATATAAAGTGACTACAGATGTGTGTTCTTGTTTTTTTTTCTATGAATGACTTCAAATGGTCAAGCTTTATTGTGTACTAGCTGATGACCTGGCATAGCCTGTGTATTTATTTAAAGGGGGAAAATGTCCAGACCAAATATAATTTTTAATGTTGGGTTTTCCACCCTACCAGAGGGAGTCCCCTTGTGGAGTACTGTGAAGCCATTACCATGGAGTTCCATTGTACAGTAGAAACCATTTTATGGCAGTACAATAGAAGCTATTTTAAGGCACAATAGATTGTATCATAACAGAACATACACCCGGAGGGCAGAGGTGGGTTGCTCCCGGTGCGGATTGGGTGAACCGGTAGTAGCAGCGGTGGCAGGCTCTGCCCACCTTCTCCTGTGCATGCACTTCTGCCCGTGTGCGCGAGCACACCAGTTTCCAATTCTACTCACGTGCATGAGCAAACAAGCGAACCGGTAGTAAACAAAAATGGAAACCCACCATGCCCAAGGATGGGTGTCTTACGCCACAAAGTATTTGCTTCCAGAGAGTAAGTCATCTGTGTACCAAGTTTGGTTGAAATTGCTCGAAGCGTGTCAGAGTTATGCTGGAACACACACACACACACACACACACACACACACACACACACACACACACACACACAGAGAGAGAGAGAGACACATCACACTATGCTGTTCTATTTTCTTCTCTCTTTATTTAAAAATAAAGGCATATCTTATCTGGATTGAGACTGCAGTGTTTAGGGAAGGAAGTTTAACTTTTCCTCTCCATGTTCTCCATACCCAAAGACTACCTAACTGCAACTTATAAAACAGGGAAAAGATTGTGAGAACCAGTGAGAAGTGGGATGGGTGGTAGATGATAGTATGTGGTTTAGGTGTCATGGGAAGGAGGTTATGGTTTTGAAAAGATTCATGACCAGAGAGAGAAAGATTAAATCTTTGGTTTTTCATGGATTGTTGTATTAACCCAATTAGAATTGCCATTCTTTTTTTCAGCAAAAAGCAATGAAAAACTGAAATATACTTTATTTATTGTATTTTTATATCACCCAGTTCAATTGTTGAAACAACAACAAAAAGCACAAGAGATGCAGAATTAAAAATTGGGCAACCTACAAAATCCCAGATGTCTGTTCAAAGAAGATGGTTTTTACCAGCTTGCAGAAATCTAGGAGGGAGGATACCAAACAATCCTCTGAGACATGTTCTTATAAAGCATGGAGCCATTACCTTTGAGCTCATGTCCTCTGAATTCTTGTAGAGAAAAGTATCCCTTCCATGTCTCTATGAGCAGACCAGAAAGGTTCCCTCAGGAGAAGACAATCCCTAAAGTAACCCTAGGATCAAGCTATGTAATGTCAAACCAACGCTTTGAATTGGGCCCAGAAATTTAATGACCACATTTGCAATGACTGTAAAATAGGTTTCATCATGATGGTACAAACTTGACCCTTAGTTGAAACTCTACTCCCCATTGAAAAAAAGTGAATGGGATCTAGTAGAAACTCAAAATGTTCTGCATTCTATGAAGAGCTCTTTGGTTGGCATTTATTCTAAAACTAGTCCTCCCTTTCCATGAACGCTACAATATAAGACCACTGTGGAAAGCTAAGAACTGTGGGAAATCTGGTTCATTCTGTCAATACACTCTCTGGACTGACTTTTAAAGTTTGTCAATATGTACATACATCTGCTTTACCTTTATAAAGAAATGAGGAAGTGGGCAGATGGGTCTTATATGAGTACAACCACATGTTCTAATTAACAAAGATGATTAGGGGTCTGGAGAGGAAACATATAAAGAACGGTTGCTGGAATTGCGTATGTCTAGTTTAATGAAAAGAAGGACTAGGAGTGAAAAGTGAAATTTAATTGTGAAAAGAGTAAGGTTCTACATTTAGGCAAGAAAAATGAAATGCACAGGTACAGTATAGGTGGTACCTTGCTCAATAGTAGTAACTGTGA